AGGAAAGATCTAATAGTCATTGTTTTAATTTATGTTTAATTATAGTGCTTTATGGGACATCGAAACTGCCCAGCAGACCACCACATTCACTGGGCATTCTGGAGATGTGATGAGTCTTTCTCTGAGTCCTGACATGAGGACTTTTGTTTCTGGTGCTTGTGATGCCTCTTCAAAATTGTGGGATATTCGAGATGGAATGTGCAGACAGTCTTTCACTGGACATGTGTCAGATATTAATGCTGTCAGTGTAAGTAAATAGCATTTCTAAAGAAATGCATTGTGCCTATGAACTGTTGAAATCTTTAACGTGATTTTAACAACAAAAACTCCAAAGAGGTAACCACAAATAGATAAGCCAGGTAAGTATTCGTATATATGAAAATGAAGTAGTCATTTGTGGTTATTATTGTCCTATGTAGGTCAAATGCTAAACTGTGTAGAAATGACTAGGATTTCTAGAACTACTATGAATACAAATGCTTATGTGTATAAGACACTCCTAATTTTGTAAGAAGATGTATTTGGGGGAAAAACTGCTTTCTATTTATTCACATATTGAAAGCCATTTTTTATAATTTTGTTGAACATCTGAGAAAGTAAATGCTTTGTTACCCCCACCCCCTATTAGTAGGCCAGCCTGGTTAGAAAAATAGAATTTTAGAGCAGGTAAACCTAGTCTTCTCCATCTCTCATCCTATCACCTCTATCAGGTTGATGGTATTCTCTTTTCCTAATTTGCTTAGATTTTGTCAGGGATGAATGGAGTTTATTAAATGCTTTCTCTTCATCTGTTGAGATGATCATGTGGTTTTTGTTTTTTTAGTCTGTTAAATGGTGAATTCACGTTGATTCACCCCCACCCCGCAAATATTAACCCAACCCTGTAATTCTGGGACAAACCACTCTTGGTCATTGTGCATAACTTTTTTAATATATTAATGCATTTGATTTATAAAAGTTTTTATAAAGTTTTACAGCCATATTCATAAAGGTTCTATTTTTCCTTCAAATGTTTTTTCTGCTTTGGTATGAGACTAATGCTGGTCTTGTAGGCAGAGTTGGGGACCATTCCCTCCACTTCAGTTGTCTGGGACAGATTGTGTAGAATTGGTCTTATTTCTTCCTTAAATGTTTGGTTTAATTTCCCCGTGAAAGCTCTCTAGGAGAATTTTCTTTGTGAGAAGAGATTTAACTACAAATTTAATGTCTTACTTGGATATAGGCTTGAGTCCTAACCCCCACTACCTCAGGATGTGACCTTATTTGAAAATAGGGTTGTTGCAGATGTGATTAGCTGAGTCATACCAGATTGGAGGTGATTTAATCCAAGATAAGGGGTATCCTTAGAAAAAGGGGAAAGCTCCAGACCAACAGGCAAAGAAGGTAAACAGTGTGAAGACTCACAGGGAAAAGACTGCCATCCACAGCCCTTAGACATGGACTGTGAGACCTTAAATTTCTGCTGTGTAAGCCACCCAGTTTGTGGTGCTTTGTTACATGGCCGCCCTAGGAAATGAATACGTTTGGTAGAGGTTTATCTGTTTTCTTTTATCTTCTCAAAGAACCATCTTTTGGTTTGAACAGTGTGCTCTATTTTTCTGCTTTATTAATTGATTTTTCTGATTATTTCTTTGCTGTGTAGTTGGGTTTCATTTTCTTTTTCTAGGTGTGTAATGTAGAAGTTGATACCATTGATTTGAAACTTTTTTTTCTTAATATTGAAGCTTAAAGTGGTAAATTTCTTTTTTTTTTTTAAAGATTTTATTTATTTATTTGAGAGAGAGAATGAGAGAGAGAGCAGGAGAGGGGGGAGGGTCAGAGGGAGAAGCAGACTTCCTGCCGAGCAGGGAGCCCGATGCGGGACTCGATCCTGGGACTCCAGGATCATGACCTGAGCCGAAGGCAGTCGCTTAACCGACTGAGCCACCCAGGCGCCCAGTGGTAAATTTCTAAACATTGCTTTTGGTGCATTCCACAGATTTGGATGTGCTGTGTTTTCATTTTCATTTAGTTAAAAATTCTTTATAATTTTGATCTCTTTGATGCATGAGTTTTTTAGAAGTATGTTACATAGTTTTCAAATATATGGAGATTTTCTAGATATCTTTATTTTTGTTAGTTTTTAATTGCATTATGGTCCAAGAATACACTTTGCATGATTTATAGGATTCTAAACTTCTTGAGACTTGTTTTATGGTCCAGAATACAGTCTGGCCTGGTCATTGTTCTGCACTTGAAAAGAATCTCTATTCTGTTACTGGATGGAGAGTTCCACAGATAACAATTATCTCAAGTTGGTTAATAGTATTATTCAGGTCTTCTGTATCCTTACTGATACTTGTCAGTTCTTTCTATTTATTATTGAGAGAGGGCTATTGAAATCTCTAGTCATGTATTTGTCCATTTTTCCTTGCAGTTTATTAGTTTTTGCTTCAGTGAGTATTTCAAAGCATAAACCTTTAGGCTTATTGTGTTCTCCTGGTCAGTTGATTTCTTTATCATTATGAAATGTCCCTCTTTATCCCTGGTAATATTACTCACTCTGAAATTTTCGTCTGATATTAATAGAACCACCCCAGCTTTCTTTTGATTAGTCTTAGCATGGGCGTATCTTTTTCCTTGCTTTTACTTGCTATTTGTATTTTATATTCAAAGTGATTTTCTTATAGGGCAGTAGTTGGGTCTAAAGAGTCCTATTTTGGGGCGCCTGGGTGGCTCAGTCAGTTAAGCGTCTGCCTTTGGCTCAGGTCATGATCCCAGGGTCCTGGGATCGAGTCCTGCATCGGGCTCCCTACTCAGCAGTGAGTCTGCTTCTCCCTCTCCCTCTCCCTCTGCCCCTTCCCCTCCCCTGCTCATGCTTGCTCATGCGCTCAAATCTTTAAAAAAAAAAAAAAAAAAGTCCTATTTCTGTCTGTTACTGTTTAGACCATTTACATTTTATGTGATTATTGTATTGACATGATTAGGTTTAAATCCACCATCTTGCTCTTTGCCTTTTGTCCTGTCTATTCTTTGTTCTTTTTCTGCCTTCTTTTGAGGTTTTAAAAAATTTTTGAATTTCTAAATTTCCTTTCTTGGCTTTTTAGCAATATTTTTGTTGGTTTTTGTTTTTTGTGGTTGTGGTTGTGGTTGCCGAGAAAATCTGTGGTGTACATTTCTAGTTTATGGCAGTCTACCTTTAAGTGCTCTTATACCACTTTTACACATAGATAAGCACCTTTTACCTGGATTCTCCCACTTCTCCCCTCCCAGCCTTTGTGCAATTGTTGTCATACATTTTACTTTTATAGGTCTTAAACCCTACAGTACATTGATATTATTGTTGCTTTCAAGAGCTGATGCTCCTTTAGGGAGATTTAACAAATAAAGTCTTTACGTTTATTAACATAGTTACCATTTTCTGTGCTCCTCATTCTTTTGTTTATGGGTTCAGATTTTCATCTATTTTTCTTCTTGAAAGGCTTCCTTTAATGTTTCTTATAGTGTAAATCTGTTAAAGTCGGTCAGCTTTTGTATATCTAAAATATTTTTTATTTTGCTTTCATTTTTGAAAAATATTTTCACTGTTTTTTTTTTTTTCCCCCTTCTGTTGATACTCTAAAGATGTTATTCCACTGTCTTCTGGTTTATGTTGGTACTGATGTGAGATGTACTATCATGCTTATATTTGGTCTCTACACAGTGTGTCCTTTGTTTTCCTCTGGCTACTTTTATTTTTTTTTTCTTAAAGATTTTATCCATTTATTTCAGAGAGAGAACAAGTTGAGCTGGGGCATGGTAAAGGGGCAGAGGGAGAGGGGGAGAGAGAAGCTCAGGGAGACTCTGCACTGGGCATGGAGCCCGACGCAGGCCTTGATCCCACAACCCCAAGACCATGACCTGAGCCGAAACCAAGAGTTAGTGGCTGAACCGACTGAGCCACCCAGGTGCCCTTTCTCTTTGTTTTTAAGCAACTTGATTATGATGTGTCTTTGTATAATTTTCTTGATATTTCTCGTGTCTGGATCTGTGGATTATTCATCAAATTTGGAAACTTTTCAGCCATTATCATTAAAATATATTTCTGTCTCTTCTCCTCTGAGGTCTCCAAATACACATATATTAAGACACCTGAAGTGTTCCCACAGTTCACTCATACTGTGTTCATTTTATTTTTCAGCCTTGTTCTTCACTGTATTTCACTCTGGATAGTTGGCTGTTGCTGTGTCTTCCAGCTCAGTACACTTCTGCAGTGTCTCATCTGCCATTAAACCCATACAGTGTCCTTTTTAATCTCAGACATTGCTTTTTGTCCTTGTCTGTTAATTCTGTCATCTGGTATTTTTGGGGTTTGTGTCAGCAGAATGATTTTTTTTCCCCCTCCTAATTATGGGTCATATTTTCTCGCTTTTGCATGTCTGATTTTCATTAGATGTGATGCCAGACATTGTAAATTTTACCTTGTTGGGTGTTGGATAATTTTGTATTTATATAAATACTATTTAGCTTTGTCCTAGGGAATAGTTATTTGGAAATAATTTGATCCTTTCGGGTCTTACATTTCAGTTTTGTTAGGTGGACCAGAGCACCACTTTGTGTATGCTTAAGTTTGTCCCACCAGTGAGGGGAAAACCTTATGATCTCTCTTCCCAGTGAATTGTGAGGTTTCCCCCCTTTCTAGGAGGGACAGACATTATTCCTGGGCCTGGGTGAGCATTGGCTTGTTTCCTGTTATCTTTATGGGTATCTCCTGTGCTTGAGTAGTTTCCTCACATACCTGTGGTCAGTACTCAGCTGAATACTTGAGGGGCCCCTTACCATCTCCTGACATTCTTTCAGGAGAAGAGAGGGTTGTCCTCTCCGGTTTCTGGCCTGTGAACTCTAGCTGCCTTGGACTCCCTGGATTCCCAGCTGTCTCCTCAACTCTGAGACATCTGTGGGCTCCATTTGGGATCCCCTTCCCAGCACCATGACCTGTAAACTTTCTCCAGGCAGGAAGTTAGGGCAGTTACGGGGCTTACCTCATGTGTGTCCTGTCTCTCAGGGACCACTCTCCTTTGTTGACTGATAGCCAGTGTCTTTAGAACCAGGTTTCATATACTTTGTCAATTTTATTTATTTTATTTTTTTCAGCATGGGGGTAAATGTAATCACTGTTAACTCCATTTGGGCTGAAAGCAGAAGTATAATTCTTTCTTTAGCTCATTTTTGAAAAATTAACAATTTAAGGGGCCTTGCCCAGTATATGAAAGTAATTTAAAAAGACCAACATAGACCTATCCTTTTGAAATTAAGATATCAAAACATAAGGACAAAAAAATTCTAGAAATATTCAAAATGAAAAGGTAGATTACCTGGATACAAAAGATGAAAAAAAAGTTAGGCTAGCCTCACACTTTCCCATAATAGACAGGGCTGGAAGGCTTCTGAACAATATCTGCTGAGTGTTGAGGGAGAAATACTGTGACCCAGGAATTTTAAGTATCAGAGGCCTTATTTTATGACAGGGGAGAAATATTTCAGTAAATATAACCTAGGATAAGAAATTAAGACCACATATAATAACTCAAGGCAATACATGTAAATGGTTGCCACTATTAAAAGATACATTGGTTTTTTTTTTATAAAGATTTTATTTATTTATTTGAGAGAGAGAGAATGAGAGACAGAGAGCATGAGAGGGAGGAGGGTCAGAGGGAGAAGCAGACTCCCTGCCGAGCAGGGAGCCTGATGCGGGACTCGATCCCGGGACTCCAGGATCATGACCTGAGCTGAAGGCAGTCGCTTAACCAACTGAGCCACCCAGGCACCCTAAAAGATACATTGTTAAGTCAAACTATATGTTGTTTATAAGAGCTACATCTAAAACAAAATGGCCCAGGAAAGCTAACGGTGAAAAAGAAAGAGTGGGCAAATGATAAACTGAAAGAAATCTGTAGTAATATTACTATATTTCTATTATACAAAGTAAAATTGAAATACAAACTATAAGACGAGAAGTTTTATGTTAACAAGAAATGGTCCGTGGTGAAGCTGTCACATTGAAATGCGCAGAAAGCCAAAGCCATTAGAAACGCAAGGAGAAATGAATCCAAAACACCATTATGTAGGAGACTTTCATATACAACCTTGGCATCCTGATACCCTAGGTAGGCAAGAAAAAAGATGAAGGATTTAAATAATGTAGTTTAATAATGTTGACTGAATAAACCTTGCACCCTGCACTGGACATACGTTCTTAAACATAAGAACCAGTCGCATAGTAGGCCACTAAAGAAATAATCTGAAGTGAATAGCTCAGGACTTGGAAAAAGCAGTTCACACTAGGAGAGGGAGAGAAAGGAGCTGGTTAAGGACAAAAGGAAAAAATGCAGATTGAAGTGAGAACCTCTACCTGAACCAGCAGGTCCTCCACCATCTACCCTCTGCCCCTTTGCTGTGGTCCGTCCAGCCTTGAGCAGCAAGTCTGATGTCCAGAGTTGTGAAAAACGTTTCGTCCCCTCAGTTTAGTGCAGACTTACCGTGTGGCAGAACCTGACCAGAGCAACAAGGAGCGGTTTATAGTCTTTACTTACCCCACTTAGGATGACTGTATCTGTCACTGGACACACTGTTGTGTTCATTACAGCATGCTACTTCGGGCCCAGTGGAGTTGTTCTTAATACACAGCATATTCCATAAGTTCTGAAAAACAACCATCCTGAGGGGTTCATATCAGCCTCTTAGGGACTGTGGACCTGTGGTCACCCATGACCTACACTGCTTCCCTCTCTCTCTGAACTGCCCAGTCGTCCCTCTGCCTCAGTCGCACTGGGCTCCTTGCCACCCCCACCCCAGGACTGTCACCCTTACTGCCCCCCCACCCCCATGTCTCTGATCTTCCCAACAGAATCCCATCACTTCACCTCCTGCAGGGTTGGAGGGGGGGATTCTTCAGTAAATCCTACTTCTCAGTAGTGTCTTTCCTGGACACTCTAAGCTTTTGCCCATGCGCCCTTGCTCTTTTCCTGGCCTTTTTTTTTTTTTTTTTTTCCCCTCCTTAGTATTTACCATGATCTAACATGCTTATTTTTTATTTACTTTTCATGTTTATGGTCTGCTTCACAAGAATATAAGCTCCATGGAGACAAAGATTTTTGTCAGTTTTGTTGACTTCCATTTACCACCAGACCAGCATTTAGAACTGTGCATGATACAGTAGGTGCTTAGTGCATATATGTTGAATGAACAAATATTTAGAAAATTTTGTAATTTCTAGGGGCGCCTGGGTGGCTCAGTCGTTAAGTGTCTGCCTTCGGCTCAGGTCATGATCCCAGGGTCCTGGGATCCAGTCCCGCATCGGGCTCCCTGCTCCACAGGAAGCCTGCTTCTCCCTCTCCCACTCCCCCTGCTTGTGTTCCCTCTCTCGCTATGTCTCTCTCTCTCTCAAATAAATAAATAAAATCTTAAAAAAAAATTATTTCTAGAAAATTATTAGAAAATTAAAAAATTCAAATACTCTAAGATTTGACTCCCTAAATCTCTGGTAAACTTAAGAAGGATAAAGTGGTGCCTGGGTGGCTCAGTTGTTGAGCGTCTGCCTTCGGCTCAGGTCATGATCCCGGGGTCCTGGGATCGAGCCCCGCGTCGGGCTCCCTGCTCTGCGGGAAGCCTGCTTCTCCCTCTCCCACTCCCCCTGCTTGTGTTCCCTCTCTCGCTGTCTCTCTGTCAAATAAATAAAGTCTTTAAAAAAAGAAAAGGATAAATATTGCAGATATATAAAATTAAGAATAGTAAAGGTTATATTACATATAAAAGATTTTATTTTATTATTTTTTAAAAATTTTAAAAATCATAAAATACTTAACATGGTAATTCTAAGTCAGTTTTCCAAAACTGACTCAATAAATGAAAACTTGACTAGTTTATTATGATTTTTTTATTATGTTATGTCACCGTACAATATATCATTAGTTTTTGATGTAGTGTTCCGTGATTCATTGTTTGTGCATAACACCCAGTGCTCCATGCAGAACGTGCCCTCTTTAATACCCATCACCAGGCTAACCCATCCTCCCACCCCTCTCCCCTCTAGAACCCTCAGTTTGTTGACTAGATAGTTTAAAACTACTTTTTATGAAAATGTTCAGACCCATGTAGTTTATTGGCAAATAATCCATACTTTGAAGGAACAGAGTTTCAGTACTATTAAAACTGTTTTTGAACACAAAAAAAGACTGAAAGTTTCCCAGTTCATTGTGTTAAACTAGCATAACCCTTACATCAAAACACAAGAAAAGGGTCTCCCTTAAAACTAGATAAAAGCATCTTAGGAAAAATTATAGCAAATCAAATCCAACAAGGTGTCAAGGTAAAAATAAATTATCAAGTAAAAATTAATTCTAAGAATGAAAAATGACTTAATATTAGGAAATCTATTAATAAAATTTACCAAGTCATTTTGTCAGTATTTTGGATACCAAAAGGTATCTGATAGAAAACAAACACCCATTTTTAAAAAACAAAAAACTCAGTACTAGAAAGCTTCTCTGTCATTAAAAACAAAAAAACCCAAAGAAACCCAACTTAAATGAACAGCCAACATCACACACACTTTTCTTTAAATGCATCTGGCAGACTTTATATTCAAGTATTCCCTCTAGCTCTTAGGGCCGTCCTAAGCACCCAGGAAATTAAAACTAGTTCATCGTATTGGTAAGGTGATCATATATCATCCAAACTCGGAAATGTGTAATTTTCAGTGTGAAAGAATGCTGTTAACAATTTTGCGCAGGAGAAAGGCATAAATGGGGACTGTCCTGTACAAAACGGGATGTCTGGTCATCCTGTGTCTTAAACATAGACTGTTGGCAAGCCGTGCCCCATACACTGAGCTTTGTGATTGGGTGTTCTGCGCTAGGTGGCCTTTACTGAGTATAGCTTCTGTTTCGGTCCATGGTAGAGAACAGGTTTAACCCATACATGCTGATAAATGTATGTAAATGGTATTGTTGGACTTCTGCAAAGGAACAATGTAGAGTATCTTGCTGGCTGTTACAGTGGAAGAAAGTGGTCAAAATCATAGCCTCTAGGTAGCAGTAAGGGTCTGGTGAAGCCTTTCACTTGCTTGAGGGCCTTCTTTCTAAACTTCACTGTGGCTTGGGAGGACTAATGATTGGATCCTTGGTAGATAGAAGAAATGGTGGCTAGAGGTTCCTTAGCCTTTTGGGAATTTGAAAAGGAAAAGCAGTTCCTTGTTTTTGATGTGGAAAAACCATCTCCACTGGGACCAGGCTTGAACCATCCTAAAAATCATTAAAATAAGAAGTACTTGCATTTCTGAGAACCTGTTACCCTGTTAGCACTGCCTTCCTCCACCATCATCGTGAGTGTGGGGGGGCTTCTTAGCAGTGAAAACCCTGGAGGCATTCTCATTGTATTAAGTAACAAGACAATAATACCATCACCATTGTTTCAAATGTTCGGAAACTTCCAGCTGGTATAGTTGGACCCGAAACTGAAATAAAAGCTGAATTAGAAAGTAGAAAAAATACCATTATTTGCAGGTGAGAGAGTCTGGCTATCTAGATATCACAAAGAGTTTGGTGTATTTTCTGGGCGACAAACTTTTAAAATCAATAAAATCAATAACTGTCTTATATACAAACCCCAATAATAACCAGGTAGACAACAGAAAGGAAGAAAATCCTATTGGGAATAGCAACAGAAATTAGGAAGAGGCATACATTAGCAAGAAATGTGTAGAATCTTTATAATAAAATTTTGTGGAAACATTTTTTTTTTTTTTTTAGATCAATATTCCTGGGGCACCTGGCTGGCTCAGTCAGTAGAGCATGTGACTCTTGATCTTGGGGTTGTGAGTTCAAGCCCTTTGTTGGGCATAGAGATGACTTAAAAATAATCCCGGGGTGCCTGGGTGGCTTAGTCAGGTAAGCGTCAGCTTGGGTCATGAGATGGAACCCCACCTCGGAGCCTGCTTAAGATTCCCTCCCTCCCCCCACCAACTCTTGCATTCGCTTTCTCTAAATTAAAAAAATAAAATCTTTTTAAAAATACCATCTTCCTGAATGAGAAGACTGCATATTATAAGCTAATCATCTATCCCTCAAACTAATTTTTAGGCTTAATACAAATTTTAAATAAAACCCACATGGAGGGCAGGTGGCTGGGTGGTGCAGTCCGTTAAGTGTCCAACTCTTGGTTTCGGCTCAGGTTATGATCTCAGGGTCATGAGATTGAGCCCTACGTCCAGGGAGAGTCTGCCGGGATTCTCTTCCTCTCCCTCAAAAAAACCCAAGTGGATTTTTTTTTTTTTTTTTTTTTTGAGATGAGTCAGAAGGATATGGAGAAAAGAAACTTGATCAAATGTCTGTGAAATTGAAGTGGGGGGGGAGGAGAAAACAGACTGATTTGAATCAGAGTACCATGAGTATTTTGCCATGCCAGATAGAAAAATTACTATCAAGTTAGGATTTTTACAAAGTGTGGTACAGGTACAAGAAAGGGTAGACAAAACTAACATTTTTGTGTATATTAGTTCAGTGAATTAAAAATGTAACAAGAAAATCAGTAAAATGATTAATCAACAGCTGGGACAATTACTTGACTATTAAGAAAATTAAGTTAGATCCTTATACTAAATGCTGTATATCAAATAAATCCTGGATAGATAAAAATTAAGATGTGAAAAATGAAATTACTTTAAAAAAAATTGGAAAAAGAGGGGCACCTGGGTGGCTCAGTCAGTTGAGTGTCTGCCTTCTGCTCAGGTCATGATCCTGGAGTCTGGGGCTTGAGTCCCATCGGGCTCCCTGCTCAGGAGGGGGTCTGCTTCTCCCTCAGCCCCTCCCCCCAACTCATGTTTGCACTCGTGCTCTCTCTCTCTCAAATAAATCTTAAAAAAAAAATAGAAAAAGATATAATTGAACATCAGCTAATAAGCCTGAGAAAGGACCTTACTCATTACAACAATGGAAGAAATCTCAAATGGAAAGATAAATTTGACTACATAAAAATGAAATATTGCTTTATAGTTTTAAAAAAGAAAACTATAGGGGTGCCTGGGTGGCTCAGTCGTTAAGTGTCGCCTTCGGCTCAGGTCATGATCCCAGGGTCCTGGGATCGAGCCCCACATCGGGCTCCCTGCTCAGCGGGAAGCCTGCTTCTCCCTCTCCCACTCCCCCTGCTTGTGTTCCCTCTCTTGCTGTGTCTCTCTCTGTCAAATAAATAAATAAAATCTTTAAAAAATATATCTACAGACTCTAGGAATTCTGATAGCAATTTCTGAAGACCATTTATTGACAATAGCATCCAGATTTTGGGTTTGTATTTCTGACTGCTGAAATGTCTCTCTCTCTCTGTCAAATAAATGAAAAAAAAAATCTTTAAGAAAAATAAATAAAAATAAAAAACTAACTAAAATCTGTAAAAAAAATTTCTATTTGTTATTCCTGCAAATCAAGTACTAACAGCATAGTAGAAAATAAGCAAAGGTCATGAAGAATCAGTTCACAAAAGTAATACAGATGACCAAAAGATACATGAAAAAAACTGTTAAAAAAAAAAAAAATGTTGAGTAGTGCTAGGTTCTGAGAAAAGGGGATTCACAAACTAATAATGCATAGTTTACTCCTAGCTTGACTTTATACCCAGCCTAACTGGGATGATTTATGTTCTCTTCTGTAAAATGTTTCCTATTTATTTCTCATGATGG